CCAAACCCTAAACCCTTTTTTGCATCAGGACGTAAGCCCTAAACCCTAAACAGTCCTGGAGGTCTTCAGGGGAGGAACCCTAAACCCTAAACCCTAAACCCTAAACAGTCCTGGAGGTCTTCAGGGGAGGCCGTCAGAGCCTTCTGGCTGAAGCCTTGCCTTGGAGGCTTCGGGGCCTTTTGGGAAGCGCCAAAAAGGGTTCATAGAAAAGGGCTCTGTTGAGGGTTTCGGGATCATTAAAAAGGGCTCTGTTTAGGGTTTAGGGATCATTTGGGGTAGTTTTCGGGCCTATAAGCGATCCATAAGAGGTAGAGAAGCATGACCTAGCTTCGGCGGCGAATGTGTAGCGAAAGCTATGAGGCAAGGATGTTATGGCTCCACACTCCTTTTGAAGGCCACCGGGCTGAAAACCTTCTAGCCTCCCGGCATACTGCATGATTCGGCTGACCGGTCAAGAAGTTAGGTCAGTTAGGTTAATCAAGTTAAAGTCGGAGGTTGGGGGTTCGTCACTGGACCTGAACACTTCGGAGGTCCTAGGCCTAGGAGCTAAGAGCGCGGCAGCGTTGCATCCACGTCGTTCTCGATTTCATTATCAGACCGCACCCACCTTGGAGACTTGTGGTCTGGCGGCTGAAAGCATCTCTGCAACCGCTTCCCGACACCCACAACTTCGCATGCTGCCAAACTGAGCTGTAGGGACGATGACAGAAGACCAACATAACAACATGAGCTCGGAATGAAGGAGAACGACAGCAGAAGCATGGTAGCTCAGTGTCTCACACTCTAATTTATTGAATCACGGCCTTGAAGCAACCGCGTTGATCCTAAACCCCCCTGCAGCTGGTCATGCCCGTGCAGACGGAAGCCGAAACCGAGAACCGAGTGTCATCATACTGCCAGTTCTGACTGCGCAGCAGTATGGGAACACCAAGATATGGAATAGCTGCTCTCGAACTAATCACACATGAAGGCCCTCACCACGCCAATGGCAACCCCAACAGGGCACAATGGATTGGGCATGGCAATATGAAGAACACTATGCAGCAGCAGCAGCATCGGCAGCAGCAAGATGAAGGCAGAGCAAGTTGAGGCAAGAGTAGGGTTCGGCGACTTCGCCGTCGTTGTTGTGGCTGCTGTTGTCTTAACAGGTTTAGTCAGGACGTTGTCGTCGCGCACATGGTCGTGACACCAGCAACCCTGAAACAGAAGCCACGAACTTCGAGTTTTGAGCTCGGAGCCCCAGCCTCCATGGCCTGAGGAGCCGGCAAGACCTGTGGAGTTTCCCCCTGCGTCAGCTCCTCGCCGAAGCTGGGAAAGAGAGTGAGGCTGAGACAAGAGCGAGCGAGGGAGGGAGGTGAGCCGGGAGTGCGGGAGAAGGCGGGGGCGGGGAGCGCGGGGCGCAGGCACATTATCCGAATTCATTCTCAGCATTTGTCTACTCGGTTCGCAGCAGAGCATGCGACACGATCACCACTTTAACGCCTTGTCCTATGTCGAAACCTTGCAAAGAACCTCACACAAACAAGATGGACTTGTAAGCCATTTCGAAGTCCAAACCCACACCGTTCGAGCTGCAGGCAATCGTTCACCCAGTGATCGTCGACAGTGGGAGTTCGAAGGCTGGCACCATTCAATCAACAGGAAACATTAAAGTATGTGCGGTTAGAAAAGATACAAGCAGTCATAATGACTACGCTAACCGTGGCTGTACAATACGCAAGCGAAGCAATCATGACAATGCACCGGCCATGGCCATCAAACGTGCCAAACCGGTTGCGCTGTAACATGCACGGTACGCAGAAACATCATGAGCCAAGCCATCAACAGTATCGTAATGTGGAAGGGGCGATGATACTTTCGACAGCCGTGGCAATCATAGCTTTGTCACTGCTTTGTCCAAAAGCTCTCAAACACCATTCTCAGCACTTTCGTCCGCAGTCAAGAAGTAGGGCTTATGGCTTATAGTCATGCTGAGGGTGACAGGGATGATGCTGGTGATAGCTACGATGGCGATGAAAAAAGACACTGAGGTGGCGATGTTCATAGTGGTGTTGATGGTGGGACAAAGATCCAGACAAAGATGCGTCTGAGGACGAGACCAAGGATCAAATGCGGATAATAGCTGCAGCGATGGCTCTGGTGATGGTGAAGATGGTGATGATGATGAGGATGATGATGATGATGATGGTGATGTCGATGACGGGCATGCCGTGTCGCTGTGCGACGATGACGTGTATGACTTCAGCAAGATAGCAATACCAATACCATGCTGTGCACCAATCGTCAGTTTACCTGCGTGGTCTGACGACTAACCGGAACAGTCTGCCAACGCCCTAAGGCTTATAGGGTACTAGGTTCAGGGCCTAACCCTAAACCCTAAACCCTAAACCTAAGCCCTAAACCTTGCAGCCCGAAAACCACGGCTTGCTTGCGGTCCTGGAGATCTTCCGGTGATGCCGTGAGACTCTCCCACCCACTGTCCAGCCTCGACTACGGAGGCAGCATAGGGGATTGGGGTTTAGGGTTTTGGGTTTACACTCTCACAACTCGGACAAGCCAGGCGAGGATCCATAGGGTTTTGGGTTTAGGGTTTAGGGTCAGGGGCTTGATAAAACGTCTATTACTGCATAACTAAGTTATTTGCCGCACACTATTACGCAAGATAGTATTAACATGCAGCATTTTTTGGGGAGAACCGTCTGTATCGTGAGGCCACGTGGACGCGGCAGCAGGCGTGCAGGCCAATGCAACTATGAGCATCCCGATTATAAAGCAAACCTATAGGTCGCAAAACACTACATCCTGATAAGGGAGTTTCCGAAAATTAGGGGTACCTTATTTTGGGGTCCTTATAATAAGGATCCTACTATTTAGGGTACTGTATTAGGGTCCCCTATTTTCGGAAACCCCATAAGCCCTTTCCTTTCGCGCAGCTCGGCCCGGAACGAGACGCGCAGCTGCGCAGGTTGGCCTCGTCACGAGTGTGCGCAAGCCAGGTTGCATTGCGATCCAGGGTACCAAGAGAAACCGAGACCGAGCTCAGTCTTGTCCGCTTTCATCACAACCATGCTTGCAATAGACAACGCTGAGGCGACAGTTCAACGTGAACATGCTAAGCTTAAACTTTGCAACACAAACGGAGCATGCACATGACGCGGTTAGGGTCCTGGTTTAGCATTAGCAGTGTACACAATGGCGGCCGCAATCGTATATGTAGCTCCGAGCAGATGACCTAGTCATCTTCATGCAAAGGCATCACAGTCACGAGTCTTGTTCCTGGCCCGCTGAAACCACATCCCGCGTCTCACAAGGCGGGTGATATGTTGAGAGCTACATGCACAATGCCCTGCCTGCAGCAGAAACAGCCACACTTTGGACTGCAATCGCGGCACCTCTGGTGGTCCAACATGACCCCGCTACAAGACACCCGAGATAGCTAGGATAGGGGTCGGGTCAGGATTCTCGCCGCATCAATATTGCTACATATTGCTGTAGTGGCTTTTTTCGCCAGCTTAAAGTCAGCATTACGCTCTGCAACGCCAGCGTCGGGTTCAAGCGTGACAAAAGCTTATGTGCAAACCTTTGATCAGCAATTACGCACAAGCCATAACAAGCCGTAAAACCCGTTCGGCTTCAACATCACCCGGACCCCTCATTGTAAATCCGGGTGAGTTAAGAAGAACACAACAGCTGAGCATCCTGCCATATCCTACATGGCCAGACGCAGAACCACTGTACTTCACAGTACGTACTCCATAAACAGTGGCGTCCGATGCCGGAAAAAGAAACGAAAGAACCGACACCTTGAGCTGCGCTCGGCTGTCGCCCATGAGGTGGTCCCAGCCTTATTGGGGGTATGTTCAGGCGGGTATACAGCTCTTTAGATTAGTGTTTCATGTTGGGTCCCCAAATAGTACGGCACCCTTCTACAACGGACCCTTAAAGGGGACCCTATTTCTGAGAACTACCTAAGTCAGGTGTTCAGGGGTTCGCACTCGCACAAGGCAGGCAAGTGGTTTTAGGGTTTAGGGTCTGGTGGTCGTGGTCTCACCCTGTGTTCGACTTAAGATCAACACTTATGTGATTGTTGGCGAGATCTATGCTGATCGTAGTTACCAGCAGCCAGTTCCCGAAGAAAAAGAAGTTAAGAATTGAAGATGCGACGCAGGAATCCGAACGCCCCGAAATTCGTGCATCGCAGTAACCTCAAGACCTCAAGCACTTCAACATTTTTTGAATTCCAGCAGATAGGGAATCCTGCTATACACACGAAACAACAGAATCCTTACCGTTGGGACCCCTAAACAAGGCACCCGTTGTAGACTCATGGTCCACGCCGTATGGGATTCAGCCTAGCTGCCTACCTGCAAGCAGTGGCCATGGATCTGTTGAAGTTTATTACTTCGATACGCCAGAGAAAGCAACTCCAATAGACGATACAACTGCCAAAATTCCGAACTGCCATCCAATTGCGGGGTGTCCTCTTATGGACACAGCAGGAAAACATACAGCCTCACATGCTGGAAACTTGTAAACCTAAGCCCTTGCGCCGTAAACCATGCAAGACCAACTCCAAAACCCCCAAATCTCGAGCTTCCGGCGTGCTTAGCTGATGAACATATACCGGTAATACCAACAGTAAAAATAACTTGAGGATCCACAAAGCCTTACTTGGCACCCGGCATGCCGTGAGAGTCCCTCCCGGACATTGGCAAAGGTTCCCTGAAGTTACAAACTCCGGGCTGGGAGTGCAGACCCAAATCCCTTTTTGCAGTGGGCCTGCCTCGTCCCTAAACCCCTAAACACCTGAGCCCGTCAACCCCCACCGCAAACCCCTCAACCCTAAGAAACTCGGAGCTCAAAGCTTCCAATCGGGTGGTGGCAGTAATCTGCCTGTTGCACGTTGCGCAGCAATACAAGACTTGTTCAAAGAGAAACTGATTTTAGGGCCCGTTATACTTTGATTACAATACTACGGAACCACCGCGATAGTATTGGTGATTATTTAGGCCCCATTTTTGGCTTGGTACACTTCTCGAGGGCCTATAGTACTTGCAAGAGTTTCGGCAAAACTCCAAAACGGCACTGCAGTCGGCACTGCGGCCTGAACCCAGCCCTAAAGCCGAGACCACGCCTCTTCAACGTCCCCGGGGGTGCCGCGAAAGCGATCGGCCTCCAGATGCGCTGGCTTTGCTTGGGCTGTAGGCTTTATGCGTTGGGAACCTGCGACTGCGCGGCTAGACGCTTTACGTGGCTTTTCGAAAGGTTCCAATTTTATGAAACTTGCGGTTCAGGCTCGGGGCCCGGAATGGGAGTCCAGTGGTCTCTGCGGGATTGGCGCTGGAGCTTGCAGGGCTCCGGGCCTAAGAGGCTTAGGGTTCGGGCACGGTGCCTGCAAGCGGCCCTAGCTCCAGCCCATAGCCTCAACCTCAACTGCCTTGACTTGAGGTGCCATGTACGCTGACGCAGCTGCCCAAAAATGGATTGATCTATCTGTCTATCTGTGTCGACCTAACTACTGAAATATATGTCCACCTACCGAATATCTAGACAACCTATACAACATACATAAATACATACATGCATACCTACAAAGTGTGCTGTATCGAGGCTGTGCAGCAACCCACTGGGAAAAGTACTTGTGTCGGGGCTAGTTTGAGAATAGCAAGAAGCCAGAAACAAAAAAGCGGCAAACAACCCCCCAAGATACCAATAACGAACAACGTATAATATACATATGTATGTATGCATATATGTGTACGGAGTTTCTGCATGTCTATCTGGATGTCTGGCTGTCCGTCCGTCCGTCTGTATGTATGCATGTCTGTGTGTGTGTGTGCGCATGCACATGTCTTTGTCTATGCATATGTTTATGCCTATGTATATCTGTATGTAGATGTATCTGTCTGTATGTCTAAGAATATATATATATATACATATAAATATATATATATATATATATATATATGTGTGTCTGTGTATGCGGCAGCTCACAGGCTGTCAGACGTACACACACACACACACGCGCGCGCGTTATAGCTGACAAGTGCCCCAATTAGCTTGAGTACAATTCACAAAAGAAGCGGTGGCAGCCGCCTACTTATGAGAACGACCACGATCCTAACCCGCGTTCGTCGCGACACGTCGCCACAGCAGACGTCCCTACGTCTGAAGGCGGTGCGAACGGAGAGCAACCCAAGCGGTGGCGACTTACAGAAACGCAGGTGGAGCGGACTCAGAAGGCGACAGGCGACGACGGTGGTAAGAGCAGCATCTATTTTCCAGCCGCATTCAAGCAAGTCGAAACTGAAAAGTCACAAAATATAGACGCTGAGTAGAGAAGACTGGCCATCACAGAAAGCAGCCGAAGCACAACAAAAACACAACACAAGAACTTGACAACACAAATGCTCCAACCCCTAAATGCTATCACAACAACAAAATCCGATTAAATCCTACTCCAAAACCCTCCAACACTCGTTCTTACATCGGAGAGCCGACAACCCTATACAAACCCTGCTTATAAGCCTTCCACCTCAAAGCCGTGAAGGGACCCTTCAGGCAAAGGGGCCTTTCCCCTAAGCCCCAAACTCCTCCGAGCCCCACAGGCCCTAAAAGAGCCCTAAATGGCCCAAAAGGGTCCTTAACAGTTTAGGGTTTAAGGTCTCGAAATCCTAAATCCTAAGCCCTGAACCGTGGCTCTCGCTGCTTTGCATCCGCATTCTCCGAGGAGGAGCTATCGGAGGGCGCCCGGGCGCGCCTTCAAAGGTTGGGATTTAAAGCTCATTGTGCCTTAAGGAGGGCTTCGACCCTTTAGGGTTTAGGGCAAAAGCAATGAATGGCCCTGAACATCAGGTCTTTCGGATTCGAAGGCACTTTCGGCTCATTTTGATGGGCTGAGATCTTTTGTCGATTCTGGTTGCAGGACCCGCCCTCTTCTGATCTCCAGGAACCAAGCCTTATCTTGTAACCCGCAACAGAAGTCTAAGGGCTTTAGGAGGGACCCTTAATACATAAGGGCTATACAATGGTCATTTAAGGTAATGGGATTCAGGGTCCCTATTAAGGGTCCCTCCTAAAGTCCTTAAAAGAAGACAAGTAGTTGAAGAATTCCTGAGGCTATCAGCCTTGGAGTGTTCAGCAATGATGAAGCCTTAACCCCAGACACGTTGGTCTTGGCTAATGTGCTGTTCTTCGCTTTTCCTGTTTAAGAGAAGGAGTGAGAGGGGTGGGGTGGCGGGGGTGAGGGGGGCCATGGGGGAGCGGAGGGGTGGTTACGACCATGTCACACAGACCAACCCAAAACCCCGTTAGTTACGACATTTTTGCTTGTTTACACAACATGTTGCAGGAGGATGTTTCATGTTCAGCAACACGAGGCGCGTTCACAAGTGTTCATGACATCTGCGAGCATGCCAAAATCCCTGCTGGTCACAGCATTAATGCCTCTTTCTACAACATGTTGCAGGAGGATGTTTGATGTTCAGCGACTCGAGGCGCTGTCACAAGTGTTCTTGCCATTTTGCAAACATGCCCAAAACCCTGTTATTCACAGCATTATTGCCGCTTTATAAAATGTGCATCTCATTGCATACATCTACAGCTGGGTCTGGCGCTCGCAGTTGGATCCCAAAGCGGACGTCGCGGATCACTTTGGGAAAGTGTGCTAAAATGAGTGCCCTAAGTTTGAGTCCCCGGATTTTCTGAAGCACGAAACCCTCCATTTCCACAGCCACACGCACGAAGCCATGTAATTTACAGCACGTGCCGTGTATGCCCTATAAAATGTACAGGCCCGCCGCTATACGGCCAGACATCAACGTGCGACCCCCTAACCCCTGAACCCCAACCCCCAACCCCTTTCCAAATTTATGAGCCCAAAGCGTCTGCCCTGTAGTGCACTGAGTGTCGAAGTTCAGGAGTCGGACTGTGAGGCTGGGGCGCCAGGAAAAGTGAATGAACAAAACCAACTCAACGAATAATCCTGAGCCTAATCTTGACGCTAATGCTACTTCTGAGAACTACAGTCTTTGGGGAATTTGGGGAAATTTCGCCTAGACTCTTAGACTCTAAACCCCCAAAACACTATTCAGCGGAGCCCCTGACCGGGGATCAGACACGAAAGGCTTCGGCGGCGCAGCCGTGGGTTTCGTGTGCCTAGATGCAGCTGTGCCGTATGGCTCATAGGGTTTCGGGTTTAGGGATTACGGTTTAGGGTTTAGGGTTTAGGGGATAGGGTTTAGTATGGTTAAGTGTTGAGGGTTTAGGTGAGCTCGAGAGACACCAGTTGGCAACCGCACTCAACGATCGACTCGGGCCCGCCCGGGTAGCCCACACAGACGTCGAAGCGCCAAAAGCTTTAGACCTGCTCCCTGGATACACCCCTCACAAGTCATCAACGTGGATACTCGAACCCCAACAAGAGCAGGAGCACGACCTAGGCTGCAATCCCAGGGCATCAGCCAAGGACCCCACTTGGTTGGAAAATGTGCACTTTCCACCCACTCCTCCGCCGTGCCATGATGTGACTGCGTCACTGGCGTTCTTCCCGTTGGCCCTCCGCGGCTCGGAGCGATACCAAGTGTGGAGGGCGCTGACCTGAGGTAGTGAGGACACACATACATCGACCTCATCGCCAAGTCGGAGATTCGAACATAGCATAAAGAACTACCCGTATAGAGCCCTCGTCGATTTCTAGTGCCTTTTCTGACGCCTTGAACCTGGTCCTGGTGCCATCAATGTTCACCAAGTGGCGCGGCAGTCGGATCCATCTTCGCTTTCGGGCTCCTCGCTCTTTGGCCCTTCGGCTTCGCCGGCGCGACGTAGAGCGGGCTTCGTGCCCGTGAGGCTTTGGCCATGATGTCGGGCGATGGGATGGGCCTCGGCTGCGTCAGTCCGGGAATTCCCAGGACCACAACAGAACCCACCTCTTGCAGGGTTGCTTGGTATGATTTCTTGAATCTAAGTTTTTCTAAAGGTGGGTTCTGCAAGGGTTTAGAGGCAACTCGTCATCACCCAGGTTCAAGCCGGGTGAAGGACGATGCACGTGGGGTTATGACAAAGTGATGGTCGGATTCAGGTGGCTTCAGATTTCGGGTTCGCAGCTTTAGACTCCACCGGCTGCGCCGGTTTCAGATTCAACAACCCGAGGCTCCGGATGTGCTCACTCAGAGACATCTGAGGCCGCAGTGATATTGACTTGGGAGTTCGGCCGGGCGGGAGTCTCATTCGTAGTCGGTTTAGGGTTTAGGGTTCAGGGTCTTGTGAGACTTCCTGGTTTTGCAAAGGTCGCAAGCACCTCCTGAACAAAAATCCTCGGCGTCATGTGCACAGGGCTTCCTGGGCGCTTTCTATAGGCCTGAGCATCTGCGTAATCACAGACAGGGCAGACCTAGGTTAGAATGTACCGCCGGATAGTGTTCGTAGTCACCCTTTGAAGGACCACGTTGTGCAGGGTGCAGACATATAGGGGCCTTAATAATCCAGAAAGTAATTAGAATAGGGTTTTGGGGCCCACTGAACTATACTTATAATTAATAATAAGGAACCCCCCCCAAAATAGTATAGGTAACTCCCTAAACCCTAAACCCTAAACCCTAAACTATATTTAGGCTTCCATAGTACCTTCAAGGCCCTTTGGGGCCCCTAAGGTCCCTGCCCAGCGCCGCCGGCTTTGTCACCCGGAGATCTTGGCCTAGGCATGAGCCCGAGATGAAACTCGTAGGTAGGGTTTAGGGTTTAGGGTTTATGGTTTAGGGTTTAGAGATCTTTGAACTCTGCTGCAGTAGAACCCAATGCGAGGAAGACCACTGGCATGATTTCAGGGTTTAGGTTTAGGGTTGCGGGCTTCCATCAAAAAAAGGTGGCACATGCGAGATCTGCAAGCATACTACTTCGGAGAAGACAGTCCCCCTCATCCGCATCAGCCATGAGGGGTATGAACTCCGACTATTGTGTTCCTCAGACTCCCTGAAGAAAATGGGGTGCGAGCCTGTCAGCACGAGGGTGCTCCCGCGTTGACCTACCAAGAAGCAGCATCATCTGCAAGCTTCGCACTGGGTGGGATCACGCCATCCATGTCGAAGGCTACAACTGCGCTCACCGCCAAACTCCCATCAAATAGAAGCACCTGCCAAACTCAGGCCCAAACACAACAGCAACATCCTCACTCCTGGCGTGAGCTTTGCCATCCCGAGGTGCTTCCGACTTGCTCGCGGACCCAACCGTCGACCTGAAGGTCCGGAAAAGTCTCGCCGGGCTTCTTGGCACGCTGCGTACTGTTTTCGGGATCCTCCAATAATTGATAAGCTTTTATTTTGCCGGCCAGGCATGTCTGTTGCAAGCGGGGGTCCTGAACTTAACCAGTACTTGAGCAATATAAAACGATCGAAGTATTGTCTGAGCCATCTGAGCAGTGAGCAGCTAAAGAAACTCTGTTGGGAGGGCTCACCATTGTCCAACACAACAAACACAAGAAATAAACAATAACAGCACACATGTAAGTCATTATAAAGATCTGAGAATCTGAGGCACAGTAACCCTAACCTAAGGAAGAAGCGGACTCGAGAGGGCTGCCGGTCACTTAAACAAACCGTGGACGCAAACACCGGAAGCAGCGGCACATATATATATATATATATGTATATATATATATATACGTATATATATTTTGGCTCCCACATGGCAACATCAGCGCGCTGACACTGCATCGCAGGTATCATTATATATATATATATATACATGCATGAGGATGTCCCGCAAGTAAGGGGACACTACATGACACCGCCCTGCTTAAGGTCCGTCTTCTGCAGGGATATTGCGATTAGGTGTCCGTTATCTGAAACCTCCATAGCATGGGCTGCTATGGATAACTCGGCTTCAAGGAGATCTCAGATCCCACCTCACGGCGGGGTCATACTTGGGCGAGCTTGAAGACCTGCAAGGAAGGCTGACCGCAAGGGATCCCAAGGCATATCCGAAATCTGCATAGCATCCAAAAGCCCCCCCCCCCCCTTCTCTTGCAGGGAGGCCTGAGGCCACGTGGGTGATCGAGCGTTGTCCTGACCGACTTCGTCAGAGAGGCGCCACTGCCCACATGGGGGTTTCCGAAAATAGGGACCCTAATATAGTACCCCAACTAGTAGGATCCTTATTATGTTACTGTGTCTCTCACAAAATGCCAGAAGTGGGGGTTTCCGAAAATAGGGACCCTAATATATAGTACCCTAAATAGTAGGATCCTTATTATAAGGACCCCAAAATAAGGCACCCCTAATATATAGTCCCTAAATAATAGGATCCTTATTAAAAATAAGGACCCCAAAAGAAAGGTACCCCCTATTTTCGGAAACTCCCATATCCCTAAACCCTAAACCCTAAAACATTTTAGAAAGGCAAAAGAAAGGTACCCCTTATGTTCGGAAACTCCCACATGGGCAGAAAAGGATCTCAGTCGTCCACGCGATGGAGGCTTCCAGCCCGGGAGTCGTTCGGGCCACAGCTTCCGACTTGGACGGCCTAAGGGAGGTTTAGGGTTTAGGGTTTAGGGACAAATCTGTTCGTTTTTTGAAGGGGCCACCAACGGCGGCCAGCAAGAGAACATGTCCCGCCCCAAAATCCCACAGCTTCCGGCGCTGGCACTGCCCTGCTTGGTGGGGACCTGAGCGTCGGGGATACAGCATAATTTGGTTTAATATGGTAGTATAATACAGCAGTATGATATAGTATATATTATACTAATATAATAGAATACACTATAATATAATCTAGTATAATATAATATGTATGTATGTATGTATGTATGTATGTATGTATGTATGTATGTATGTATGTATATATATATATATATGGTCACCCCCCCCATGACAGACCATGCCCTTCAAAACATCGCTCCCACCGGCGTGTTCGTGCTTTTTCCGGGGTATCGAGTTTGAGCCCTCCGA